AGCTACATGTAATTTTCATACATTACATGTTTTTTACATGTAACAAGACGCCGTTCTGGCGTTAACTCCGGCGCACGTGCCAGTCTTCAATATAGAGCTTCTGAACATAAACAATACAGTTCGCGTATTGTTTCGCATACATATTCGCATTTAGATGCCTTGCGAACCTAAATGTTCGATCGCGAAATTCAGAAGCACATCGCAGTATAGAAGTTCAATTGTTCAAAAATGTAAATAAACCGCATGATACATTCGCTTCGTCTTACACTTTGCCTTTGGAATTCGCGCTTATATATAGTTGTATTAAATCTTCGATCCTGTGCAAACTACGCGACGTGTCAACGCGCCCATACACGACCACATCATCTTGTTAAACGGCGAAATAGCAGCGATATTATTAAAATAGGACCGAGTCTACATGTATTAAATATATTCTTACCCCAATTCAATCTAAACTTAATCGAACAGCATAAAAAGAACGGTTTATTTGTTCCTCTTGGAGGAATTGCCATATCATGCGAGCGAAATCGAATCGCGCATTGGAAAATTAGCCAAAGCTGTGCACCACAACTCTTGGGAGATAAGACTGGGACGTAGATAAATACGATCACATACACTATTCAAATACTAGTATATTTCGCGCCATTACAGACTTGCGACGACGAAAAATAATAAAAAAAAAAATAAAAAAACAAAAACAAAAACAAAACAAAACCGGGGCGAATTTTCAACTCCGTCGCTGACGCCGGAGTAATTATAATTGAGCGACTCCGTATAGAAAGAATATTGCAGTAACTGTTTTATAATCCGTGTTGTCCGTGTGTTAATGATGTTGCAGACATTTTCACGCGCCAATTTCTATTCCGGCAAAGTTGTCGCCCGAGGAGTAGAATATACCTTCGCAGTTCCAAATGAACTCCAACAGACTCTCGAAATAAAAAGTCAAGGAAATGACTGTAATCTGTTGCAATTTGAAAAGACTGCTTACCTTGATATTCCCGAGAAGAAGAAAAAAAAGCTGAGGAGAAATGGTTTCAATAACATCATCTTGTGGTCACCGTTTATGCTGTGATGATTTCTCTCACTGCATGAAGGAACGAAGTAATTTTAACAAAATGCGGCGATATATAGCACTCTTTTCCTGAGTCGATTAGAGTCGTCGAAATTATGATAGCTTTGTGAAGCCCTGGTCCTGCCAGAGCATACTAGTGATATACAACAGGCAACAAGGATTTAATATTCGCGTTGCTAAATTTAATTCTATCCACTCACCTTTCCTTTATTGTATTTCCAAAAAAAATTATATTATCGAGTCGACAGACTGAACTTGAATTATAGAAAAATAAAACTGCGTTGATATTTACCGCAGATATGAATGCTTGATTATGACGCGTGCTGAGACGGATGCACTACTTGACAAAGTGCATTAAATTTCGACATCATCAAGGCAAGTAGGACGCATGAAAACAATGGAGTTATCTTTATAACTGCAAAAATACCGCAATAATGCATAATTTCGCATCAATTATTACTATACGCCATATCAATAATGCACTCCCCATATCTGTAATCTCGTTTGAAAAATTTTTGTTATTTAATTAAAGTCTAAAATTGTGTAGTGCTTCGGTGTTGCTCATTTTACGCGACTTGAACTGTAGTTGTTGCTTGCAACGTCAACAAGCGGATGTATGGAGAGTGTTAAAAACTGAAATACTGCTACTTCCATTTTTGTAACGAAAGCCCCGTTTACTCTACACTCGATTTATTGGCACAGCATGGCTAAAATAGTTACCCGAACCCATTTCATTCGTGCTCGGCTTTCTTTTGGTAGCCTGAACACTAATAAAATTGAGTACGGGTACCCATTTTAGCCGTGCCGTGCTAATAAATTGACTGTAGTGTAAACAGGCCAGTAATAATAATTATGCGGTAGATAACTTTTGTGACATGCTAGTTAAGCACGGTGCTCTCATAATTTAATTATGCATATTTTCACTGTGGGGAGGTTGTTTTGAATAACCTGAGAGGCTGAGACAAACTGGAATATTTGAAAAGAATATAATTGATTAACTACTCCTCCCCCCTCTCGATAGAGTCAAACTTTTCTAAAGAAATTTCCTTAGAATTAAGTGAGAACTCTGGGCCATCACCATTTAGTTCTACCCACATGCACCCAGCTCCACCAATTTTTTCTACATAGTTGTTGATAAATGAGAGTTTTCTGAAACGATCGAGGATTTCGAGAGCAAACAAAACCCAGTATGATTGGCATGTTTTGGCATGTACTTGTATTTTATTAATATGTAGTATGAAACCATAACACCAAAATATTAGCATAGCAAGACAAAGTCGTCAAGCTGGCTACGCTACTGAAGGCCATAGAAAAGACTATATTTGATGGTTAGAGACTGTTGTGAGTGTTTCGTTCACAATATACAATGAACGAGAAATTTCAATATTAACATCCTGATTTAAAGAACTGTAACTCACATTTATGATAGTAAATTTGACGAAATGTTCCCAAAATCTTTTTAATTCTGAATCGTCTCCCAAAGCTTCAAATTTCCGCTTCAGCTTACGTCGAGCACATCGTATATTGAAGTTCTTTCACCTGTCTTCTATACTTTGATAGACCACAGTTACTCTTTCACTTTCCTCAATTGACCATTGCACATGCTTATTCCAAAACTCTTACTGCTCCCTATTTTCCCACAAACTACCGGGTTTACAAAAATTTGTTCCTGTAAAAATTATACATCAGTTTCTTGAAAGTTTAATGTTATTGATTATTATTAACCGCCTGAGTCTTTGGTACAAAAGATGAATCAATGAATTGCGGTATTACGCATTTTACCAAGTATTCAGTAATGTCGTGACTAAAATTTAACAATCACATTGAAGTTCAAAATATGGAATTTCTGTGGCTTTTTAAATAAAAAGGTATATTACTAATATAAGACCCTGTTTATATGAGAGGCGGGACGGGGTGACGTTTTTATCCCGCGTTTACATGGTACTTCAAAGCATAGAGATTATAAAGAACACCAGACGAGACATTGGTATCGCTATTCGCAATGTTCGAAACAAAGCATGAGTAAAAAATACCGCTTAATGATGTCAATGATAAATGGCGTACGGACCGCCAATGGACCGACGAACAATAAGTGCGAGCGAGAGCATTGGGAAATAGAATACGCTAATAGGGGGGGGGGGGGGGGAAATGGCAAAATTGAGTCCCTAATGCTAAGCACAGCGTTTATTGGCTACATCGATGCCTCCTTAGCAACCACGTTTGCAACAACGAAAATTTGTATTAAAAATCTTCTATTCGTTGTTTGAGGTCGTTTTGCCTGTTTTTGAGGGAAAACAGTGTTTTTTTAACTGGTTTTACTACCTTAGACATCCTGAAATGTTATTTTTTGGTAAAAATATAAAATGAAAAAACTCGTTAAAAAGACTTATTTTGGCCTCGGACATCCGGAACTGAGTGAAAAATGAACATCCGGGACTTATATTTGCCCCCATTAATGCGCTCCCCAATTTCTCCTCGGCTCGATGTCCCCTCTGGGGGACATTTTACTGAGAATTTGTTTCTTTGCATGACTGCATCTGTTTCTCTGCATGTGGGTGCCGCATTTCGTACAGTCGTGTGAGTATGCATTTTCTGCCATAAATTCAACTACGCACTTCAGATTTGATTCATTTTGAGTTATTACTCCGGCGTCAGCGACGGAGTTGAAAATTCGCCTCGGTTTTGTTTTGTTTTTGTTTTTTTTTTTTTATTTTGTTTTTTTATTATTTTTCGTCGTGCAAGTCTGAAATGGCGCGAAATATACTAGTATTTAAAATGTGTATGTGATTGGATTTATCTATGTCTCAGTCTTGTCTCCCAAGAGTTGTGGTGCACAGCTTTGGCTAATTTTCCGATGCGCGATTCGATTTCGCTCGCATGATACGGCAATTCCTCCAAGAGCAACAAATAAACCGTTCTTTTCATGCTTTTCGACTAAGTTTAGATTGAATTGGGGTAAGAATATACTTAATACATGTAGATTTTGGTCCTATTTTAATAATATCGCTGCTATTTCGCCGTTTAACAAGATGATGTGGTCGTGTATGGGCGCGTTGACACGTCGTAGTTTATAAGCCCGAATTCCAAAGGCAAAGTGTAAGACAAAGTGAATGTATACATTCGCTGTCATGCGGTTTATTTACATGTTTGAACAATTGAACTTCTATTCTTTTTAAAGTACGATATGCTTCTGAATTTCGCGATCGAACATTTATAGGTTCGCAAGGCATCTAAATGCGAATATGAAATATTATGAACTGTATTGTTTATGTTCAGAAGCTCTATATTAAAGACTGGCACGTGCGCCGGATTTAACGCCAGAACAGGCGTCTTGATTTCATATATTTTCACCTTATGTTTTCAGTTTCTTGTTTCGTTTTGGTTTCGAAACGCTTTAACACTAGTTTTTCTTTATTTTTTTGGCCAGCTTCCTAGCATAGGGCTTTTTTAAGGTTTCTTTGGGTACATTATGAGCCTTGTTTATAAATTTCAAACTCGTACGTTTTTCAGCATAATTTTCTTTCTTATTAATTTTTTACATGAATGAAAGCCTCATATAGAAGAATTAAACTAGGAGAGGTTTTATAAATTTTTTTTTTTTAGGGGGAGCATATTCTGTGAGTAAATGTTGTGATTTGTGAAAACATCAACAATCTGCCACTACATAGCTTTCCTTGTAAGATATCGCTTATTTCTATTTTTTTGTCAATGAAAGTATTTCAATACAAAGCATTAGTGTTATACGAGATTTAGCGTTTATATCATGCCAAAAAAGCATAGCATCGACATCCTGCTTTTTGGCAGCATTTCTACCCTATGATATACCCAGTACTTCAGGGTAATTATTATTACCAGTTAGGTGAATAATGAATAAAGAATATTACCCCTGATATTACTACCCAGTATTGTATCAAGGCGCCTGCTCAGGGGTTAGGTTACATGTATATTACTATATACTGATTTTGTATTGCAAACTTGCAGTATATTGTGGCCCGCATTATGTGGGGAAAGACAACAACTTTTTTGCTATGTAGACCTGCTGTAAGCAGGATAGTACAACTTAGATATGTTTGCCAGCAGCGTCTTGTACCTGTAGCTGTGCGGCTATTAACGAGATACAATGGTTTTCACTCAAGTGCAAGGGTAGCTTCGTATCAAGAAAATTATCAGAAGTCTATTGCAAGTCCGATGATATTTTGGGACGATGTTGCAAATAATATTGATTGGTTTCAACCGTATGAGAAGGTGTTAGATGATACGGAATCTCCCTTTTCTAAATGGTAAAGTATATGATAGAATATATTTTTGTAAACATATGTGGTACTGGTTAGCCGAGCCGTATCTGGAGGAGAGGTTATATTAATATTTTCATGTTTATATACTGTAGCTAGGAACAATATCTTCCCAAAGAAATCAGTTTGGAGAAAGACAAATTTAGGATTATGCAACCCCCTTCCCTCCCAATGAATCTTCTACATAGCTATGACCCTGGCAATTAATTAGTACACCTATTGCCTTATTGCCTCTATTTAGGGGGCACTTTTGTGATTCATTCAGATGCTACAGTAGCTTGAAAGTTAAAACAGGTGTGATTTGTCTGCTTGAAAGAGATTTTGCACATCAGGGGCATTTTTTTGTGTTATTACCATCAAATAACATACCATATAGGTACAATGATATATTGTGTAAAGTAAGTCTGCTGAATAGGTGCCTTATTTTAGGATATTTCTATTAAACTAATACTGCACTGAATGTGGTATAACAACTGCCTAAAATAGACCAAACAACTCTGAAGTTATACCACATTTGATGCTAAGTTGTTTGAAGACGGTGCCAGTCGCTGCTTCCTGGTTATATTGGAATGTATCTAATAATGCACCGCCAATATTTCACATTTGTTAGCTGAGTACGTACCTTAAAGTCTATAAACACTTGCTTTCAAATCTCGTGCAATTGTTATTAACAATGTTGAAGTTGAAAATATAACATATTTTAAATATACCGTTCTGCATGTTTATAGTATGTGACTCAATCTCTTGACAGTATAGATGAATTCAACCACAGACAATTTTTCATGTAACTAACTAGGACACAGATTACAGCATTTTTAGTGTACAAAATAAGTCAATGCAGGCTACACCTGCATAACACATGCTAAAAAGCTGTTGTTACAATTGCTTTAAATAGTTTATAGTCTGTTTTGAGACATATATGTTACAAGATTGGGGTCTTTTTCCTTAAAATTTTGTGTACCTTAATTTATTTTATTTTGGTCAAATGCATTGTATATCATATGCATTGGAATTTACATCACATATTGTACCATGAATACATTGTATGTATTTGGACCAAACACTAAGGTGTATATTAATACTTTCATGTTTATATATGCTTTGGGAAAAGATGAATATATGAATTTGCACCTTGCTTCCGATTAATCTTCTAGGCATGACCTTGGTGATTAAGCTAGTATGCTTATTGCCTCTATTTATTGGACATTTTTGATATTCAGAAGCAGTAGCTCAAAGTTAAAACAGGTGTGAGGTGTTGGCTTGAAAGAAATTTTGCACAACAGGGGCAATATTTGGTGTTATTTTATTACCATCAAACAACATACCATGTACAGTGATCTGTATTGTATAAAGCCTTCTGAATATGTGCCTTGAGAATAATGGTTTTAAGTTAATAACAATATTGAAGTTTAATAATTAAACATACCAAATACCTGCATGGTAAAAGTATGTGACTAGCAGGTGACAAGACACAGAGGCGGGACTATAGGTGGCGTAATTAAATATGGGGGCTGTATACCTGCTTTTTCCGTGCCTGCATGTGAGCTAAAAGTGACCAACTTTGCATGCTTGGCAAATTCCTGAAATGCTCAAAATGGCTTGAATTTCTTGGTAAAAACATTTTGGATAATTAAAGCTTTACTATATTGTCATTTATATAGCATTTTACGCACTTAAGATAAATTGCAAAATTCATGTTTATATTACTTTCAATCTTATGCACTTGCCAAGCATTTGCACTAAAAAAGTGGGTACGCTAGTTCTAATTTTCTTACTCTGTGTTCATACAACCCCAATTTTTGTACTCAAAATAACTTCCCTAAAACCCTAGTTGTATGGAAACAATAGATCTTGCAAAATAATGTTTCACGAGAGGTCAACCCCCTTAAGTATGAAATTCAGTCAGAATTTATACATGTGTATAAGCTACCTTGTTTGGTTTTCAGCACAAATGATGTAACCCACGTACGCTGTAACCCACCGGGTGGGTTGGGCTAGCATCCGGTGAACTATATACAGTAAATTGAGAGCAAAATTCTTCCAATTTCTTGCTATGTAGAAAGATGTATAACGATTAAAAACAACTGCAGGGGTGATGGTTTTGACGTTCTAGTGGTAGAGAGTTGGGATATCGCGAAGATTATTTGTAGTTAAAAGGACAGTTTTAGCAGAATGATCAACGGCTTGTTGTGCGACCCTAATTAAAATGCTTGTAAATTGGCTTGGTCAGTGAAGAGTAGTTTTAGAAAATGACAATGGTCCTAACATCGTAGTATACAGGTGAGTTTAGATCTTATTGAAAACGTTGCTTCAACACAAAGTAAATGCCATTTAACGTATGTGTTGAATTATTGAATTATACAGCGTCAAAGTTGACTATCAGGTAGGAAATAGACTAGCCTGTCGCAGCATCATCGATCATGAAAGCAGAAGATAGTTTAGAGAAAGCTACGACGTGGTTTGTACGTATCACTGCTCAGGTCGACGATGATTGATCTGGCCTGGTTGTGGACATACGAAAAACGAAGTTAAGGCACGTTTAGAAACCTGACGTAGTTAACAAAATTAGGTAGGATTTTGAGGTTTGTGCAAAAGTGAAAGCAAATCTGCAAAGCGTGGTTTACTAGTAAATACAGTATACAGTAAATACTGTATGATAAATTTATGGCAGAGAAGGCATATTGATCTAGGATGCTCAGGTCATTTTAAAGGAAGCGATAGTATTTCAGCATTTAGTAAAGAGGTTGGACCTATTAGAGAAGCGTCTATAAAAGTGATGCATGGCTTTGCTGTGCTGTTAAGCGAAAGGTGGTGACTTTAAGAAATCTTATAATATAACGTTTCTGGTCTTCACAATTATACATATTTACAAACATGTCGGGGTCACAGGACATGCACAGGAGAGGGCAATTGCTTTCGTACGTATTTAACAATTACAAGAAACTTAAGAAGTTTCTAATCTCGCAAGTAATTTTGACATCTTCCACTATAGCCAAGGAATTACATTTAGAAGGTATACTTTCTTACTTTCTTACTTACTTATGCACGTTCGCATCAGGAAGAGTTAATACTATACTCATATCTGCATGATAAACCAACCATAAACAAGTCCGTTGAACGTCAGTATCGTATTTATCATCAACCAAATTGGCCCTTTATTAAGCTGTCCAATGTCCATGGCCTAAAAACTCCAGCATGGCTGTAAAAAATATTAACCGGTATATAACCCATTATATATTTTATTTTAAAAATTTTTGCTGAATCTATTTTTTGGTCATTTCTATCAGAACTTTACATCACGCTTACGCCTTAAGCGGCCAAAATGGTCAAACGGGTCATATTTTGAATTTAAATTGAGTATTTCGTAGAAAATATATAGCGGTCAAACTGCATTTTTGTGCCAGGCTGAGGTAAATAACGATATTTGAAGGCATAGAAACACCCCATGCAGTAATCTCTCTGTACTGAAATTCACGAGGAACAGTCTTTCCGTTTTTACCGTATAAAGAAAAGCGCCGATGCATGGATTGTATTTCTGGATATCTATTTATCAGCAGAATCGGTAATGAGGGATACTGCTAACCGCTATAATTGCTCACTAACCGCCAAAAAATGGCCGCAATCAATTTTCAAGCAAAGATATGACGAAAACATATTACTCACATGCATTATAAACCTTAAGGCACTCAAATATGGAGAGGACTAAACTGAAATATCTCATACCTGCGCAATACTTCTTTGTCGAAGAGACCTTTCCGAAAATCCATATTTGAGACTGTTTTATCTTGTTTAGGTTTGTTGGAGGAGAAATGAACACGTGTTTCAATGCACTGGATCGACATGTTAAATCTGGTCATGGAAAACAATTTGCCCTGATATACGATAGTCCTGTGACAAATACCATTGAAAGATATACCTACGAAGAACTGTTAGAACAAGTAAGATATTGAATACTATTTTTTTTTAACTTCTCAGCTACTTGTGAGTTTGGTCTTTGTTTTTCTTCTAAAAATGAGAAATATACGTAGCTAGCTACTCTTCTCAGTAATCATTACATCATGGGTAATTATTTGAAACCATATGGACGCTCGTGGCAAGATATGTCATGAACTTTCGGCTGTCAATCTTTAGCGGGTGGCTCAAACATCATCTCAGTAAATAATATACATGCATGCAGAAAAAAAATATATAACATGTTACAGTTTTAAGCTTGCAAGAAACAAATATGCTCTGTAGTGATTGCCGTGTATTTTACTGATAATTCACTCTCATTTTTATCCACCCGTTTTTTTATTTACACTCCGCATAAGGTTTCAACATGCATATTGATACACCACGCAGTATATGCGTAGAAATTAAGACATAATAATTATATATTTTAACTTCAATTTTTAGGTTAGCCTATTTGCTGGAGGTTTAGTAAATCTTGGCGTTGTTAAAGGTGATCGTGTCATAATTTATATGCCGATGATTCCACAGGTACGTATAGGGTAAGTGAAGAAGTGCACACTATGTTTTTTTGCGTGTACATTAATCGCAATGCAACAGAAATATATATGAATTCCCATATTATCATGTTCAAAGAGTATCTTCATGAACGGCCGGGTTCATCAAAACGCTGGTCGTATAACGTTTTTACATTTTTATTATGCCTAAATTAGCATTTGGAATAGTAGAGCTTTATTTACTACCTTTTTTATTTAAACTGTGGCTTTTTGGCTAATTTGCAGGCTATTGTGGCCATGTTAGCTTGCAGTCGGATTGGAGCAATTCATTCTGTTGTCTTTGGTGGTTTTGCGTCCGAGGAACTAGGTCGAAGAATACAGCATGCTGAGGTATATTTTTTTCATCTTTCGTAAACACTTTTTCATTGTCTTTCACAGCCCGAAAGGCTTGTTACGGGGCTTCTAGCTTAATTCTTCTAAGCGTGGTTCAAATTTAGAGACATGTTGATTAATTGAAGCGTCGAGTTTCGTTTAAATGCACACTACTTTCCTTTGGTGTTGTTTTGCGAGCATTATTGAGAATTCCATCATTTCCATGATTTTAAGACGAGAAATAAAAGGAGCTGGCTTTGAATATCATAGACATAGTATAATGTTACATTTTCCTTGTAATTTTTTTCATGAATATATCTCAAACTCGAAATGAATAATTTTTAATAAGATTATGTACGGATAACTTGTTCAGATTGCCAAGTATTTTGCTGTTATCATTTTTCAAAGTCTGCTTATTTTTTGGCCATACATAGAAGGTGTGCTATTTAGTACAACTTAAGATGTGTCCTCTATCACACCTTATTTTAGCGAGCTAAATAGCACACCTTGGTGTGATACCTTAACACCACAGTATATGGCAGGCACACCTTTTTACAGCGTATGCTGACCACCACATAATTAGTGATAATCTGTCAAAGAGGGATATATAGGTCGCTATAATTCGCTCGAGAGATATAGGCTAACTCGCTTATTTAGTAAGTTCATACTTTGTAATTTCTCAATTTAGCCTAAGGTTGTAATTACAGCTTCGTGTGGGATTGAGCCAAGAGGGATACTGCCTTATAAACCGTTGGTGGACGAGGCTTTAGAATTCGCCCAGCACAAAGTTGAGAAATGTGTTATTTACCAAAGAGATATGGTTTGTAAAACAATTATTATTATACTTTTTATTTCATCAAATGTTATACATGCAGTCAGATGTTATACATGCACTCAGGCTGTGATCAATGCATGTCTGCCGATCATAAAAGTCTTCTGTTTAAAGGACTCCCGCGACTTCAGCATTAGAAAATATATTCCAATATAACCATGCTCTCTGCAGAGAGCAGCGTGGCAGCGTCCTCAAATAACTTAGCATCAAATTTAGTCTAGGTCTACTTTACTTACTAGTAGATACGAACTCTCCTAAAGAAGGCCATCATGTCGAAACGTCAAGAAGTGTTTCTCTCTATTTTAGGCAGTTGTTATACCAATGAACTAAGTTAATTGAAAATATAGTTTTTAGTTTAATTTTTAGTTTTATTACGATATAGTGCAAATAATATTCCCAGGTGGCTAAAACTATCGACTGAAGTCCAATTTAATTTGTCATCTTTTACGCTAACGCATTGACGCTAACCCAGGAACTTATGCAGAAATAATTAAATACAGTAAAGTCTAGAGGGTTAGACATGCATATGCAGTTAATTAAACACCATTCGGTTCACTTTATATGTAGTCTAAATGAAGGGAAACATGGAAACTTTAAGTCTAAATGTAGGAAAACATGCATGAGAAACTTTCAATTCTAAATGAAAGGAAACATGCATGAGAAACTTTCAATTCTAAATCATGAAGTATGTAGCCCATCACTTCTCTGAACATAAGACTTTAATGTATCTCTAAATCAATAAGAATAACTATTTGCTGTTCTTTGACAAATTTAGCAAACGCCTCATATTTAAACTTCGAACAGTTCAGACGTACCTGTTTGATCTCTAAATAGTTAACAATTAACGTTATGTAAATTGTTCTATAGTACAAAGCAACCATGGTGGATGGCAGGGACGTACAATGGGATGATTTTATAGCGAAAGCCTCCCATCAAGATTGTGTACCTGTTCTAGCGACGGATCCTATCTATATCTTGTACACATCGGGCACAACAGGTGATCCTAAGGTAGGTGGTTTAAAGATAGCCTTAGCATGCACTAGCGCCATTTAAAACAGCATATTGGAATTCATTTTCAATTATATATCTAGTATGGAAATATGCTATACTCATACTCACCGGCAATTAGTGTGGATCTTATAAACTTCCATAGTTTGTCAACTTACATTCATACTGTTTCCGTAATATGGTTTTTAAACCAGTGATATATGAATCACGGCCAAGGAAAGCATTTTATAAATCATAACTTGCCTGCAAAAACATCATAACAGAGCAGCTGGTGTTATGGAACCACTCAATGAACAAAGAAATAAAGCGAAAGCAAAAATCATGTTTAAAACGCTTAATAACATGGGACCAAATTGTCCTCAAGAGCTAGTTATTTACTTACAAAAAGGACGTATGAAACCATTGTCTTCGTGACAGCTCGTGTCTACGTTTGCCAATTCCAAACACGAACAACATATTAGAAAAAAAAATCACTCTGAAGTTTTAAAAAAAAAAACTTGTTAGCATTATGGGAAGTTGACGAGGGCGGTTATGAGCAGACAAGCTAGGTGGTCATGTAGGCATGTAGGCACCATGGGATATTTCGCGATACATAATAAATCAATTATAATTAACATCAGTTTTGAGTTTTAATGGCTGACTTTATTTCAGGGTATTGTACGTCCGTCAGGTGGACATGCTGTAGTTCTAAACTGGTCAATGAAACACATATTCGGCATCGAGCCTGGCGAGGTATGACGATCTATTGCATAGAACATTTTCAAATCGTATGGAAACGTAGATCAGGTAGATGTTTTGCTCTCCAGGAGGCAGCTGTATAAAAGTCTAGTTAACTTTTAATTGCATAAAGACATATTTGGGCAATCAGAGTTATGTATTCCTGGATCTAACAATGGAAAATGTAGTTAAAGAGTTTTAAAAAACCGGCTTGTGAGATACACTTTTATTAGTATAAAGATTCTCGAGCTGGCGAAATTTTCCTAAATGATAAATTGATCTCGATTTCGCGTGTAAACAAAAGACATTTAGGTTGTTTCCAGCAAGAATATGCACAATACAGTAGGCATATTTGAGGCTAGGGCCATTTAGAAGACAGATTCGCCATATGTAAAGCATGTTTGCCTTCCTCTGCCCTCGCGGTATCAATATATCACTTTATTAGGTTCAGTGGCGTAGCCAGCCTAACAATTTGGTCATGCTATGCAAATTTCAAGTCATTAGAATTATTAATTTCTTTGGAAATTCATTGCTTTCACACTCAATGAACACCAAAATATTAGCATAGCATTACGAAATTGTCAGGCTGGCTACGCCACTGATTAGGTTACAGGATTTTCTGATAATTTCTCTGATATTTAGGTATGGTGGGCTGCTTCTGACCTTGGATGGGTTGTTGGTCATTCATATATCGTCTATGGACCGCTATTGGCAAGAGCCACCTCAATACTTTTCGAGGTACGTTTAAGTTTATACGCTTTCGAGTGGGAAATTTGAAAAAGCTCGTGCACGTGGTATTTCGCACTTGTGTGAATAAAGTTTTGTGTAATTCGTCTGGAATGTTAGTCGAATACTGAGGCCAAATTATTTACCCTATATCTACTGCCCAAGAGGCTTCATAGTTGAACATTTGGACGATAGAGTTAAACATTTGGACGACGTTTATAAAATTGTTGCGCGTTGAACAGTATCCATTCCAGCCTAAAGCCGGTTTTCCACTAGCGATATTTTTCGCGCGAAGCGACATTTTACTTTTGTTTCAGAGCTCTCAACTGCAACCATCTGGAACAAATTGCTCAAATACAAAGGAATAAAGTCGCTTCGCGCGAAAAATATCGCTAGTGGAAGACCGGCTTAAGTATCTATTTACACCTGGACTGATGTGATATATTTCTGTAGGGAAAGCCTGTAGGAACTCCAGATGCTGGAGCTTTCTTTCGGGTAATCGAGCAACACAACGTCTGCGGTATGTTTACAGCACCAACTGCAATACGCGTAATCAGAGCAGAGGTAAGTTAAAGGAATAATAGACCTTGTCGCGTGGCGAGTGGGTTTCGCGCGAAGAGATTTGATTGGCTAACACGCAGCGCGGGAAAAAGCTCGGGCAATCAAAAAAAAACATTCAGACTACCATTCTACCAATTAATTGGATGTAATGATTTGGATGACAATTGAAAATATAAGAACCTAAAAAGAGGAATAACAGGACCGAGGAATAACAGACCCCGTCTGCATTTCGAATCTCATCGACCCATTTTTTTTCTTTCAGGACCCTGATGGGGAAACCATCAGAAAGTACAATTTATCACAGTGAGTAGTAAATGCGATATTTTTACGGTTGTTTCGTTTTGTTTATTGCCGGAAAAATGTATGATTTGGATCATTATCATTGAGGATATTCGATGACATAAAAATACGATTGTTCAGAATCCCTCCCCCATTATATCGAACTCCTCTTATAGCCAGGGAAAGGTTACTATTTATAAAGAGGCTCTTGCAAATATTAGCAAATAACAGTACAACAGTTTACGTATTTACCACAAATGAATATTTTATACTTTCTGCATCATGATCAGCAAAATGGTAGAGTTTATTAGATCGTAAGGCGTCTAAAAGTGCGTTTATAGGCGCGTCTTTCAATATAATTAATAACGTACTGAGGTGATTAAGTTATGGCTCATACTTTTGAATGAATGGCTCATATTTTTGGTCCTTTTATGAACAGCAGAAAGTTTTATGAGACAGTCGAAGCTTTTCCGAATAGCTGGGTACTAGTTTTTTTTGTTTTTCACACTGCATGTACATTTCCCAATTAGCTCATTTCAATAGGGTTCTGCATGTGAATCACGTGTAAACTCTCCTTAGATACAGGCATATTTTCATAAAGATTGTGATCGAATCAAATTTAATCTTTTTCAGCTTCCGTAACTTATTTCTTGCTGGAGAACACTGTGATAAAGACACTCTTAAATGGGCAAGTGACGTCTTGAAATGCCCTGTGCTTGATAACTGGTGGCAGACAGGTATAAGACTAAAAATCTGTCTCTTTGCCATATTGCAACTTGCATAGTATAAATTAAATTTCGTAGCAGTTTAATATCATAGTGACGACGCAGAGCATATGTCGAGGTGCTGGAGCGGATGTCGAATACGTACAAAGCATTTGGGTTAACCCATTAACTAGGTCCTAGCAAATTCACAAGTTTATATATTGAATATAATTATTAGCCCTTTTCTTCCCCTTTGCTCATATTATATTCTTCCATTTGCTATCGAGCCGTTTCAGAAGTAAACGCAAGCTTTGAGTAACATTTTTCACACTTTTTAGCCTTGGCTAACCGCATATTTATTTTCAATTATATATTTCGTTGGTATAGAAACTGGTTGGCCAATTACAGCTCATTCTGTAGGATTTGGAGATGTGGCTACAGATCATCTGCAAACAACGGGAAGACCGGTTCCTGGTTACGATGGTATAACCCTGCTTTTTCTTTTTGAATTTAAATTTTTCATGCCATGCCATGTTACTAAATGTGAGGCAGTTATTCTAAGTGAAGAATAAAGTAAGAGTTCTGGGTGTCTGTAGTTGCCATACACGTTGGTCCATATTGGCTAAATTTATCCTACCCGTGCAAGCTCATATTGTCAGCGGACAACTTACACAAAATTGAGAGCAGTGCGTAAAACGAAAAGCTTTTAATTTCTTACGCGAAGACCGGTAGAAAATAATTACAAAAAACGAGATAACTGACGAACTTATGATGGCAAAAACATGGAATTACTTTTACTTTGGATTTTAGGAAAATTTATTTTTTATCATTTCTTATTTCAATCGTTCACCGCAAGAAGCGAAGATAACCTAGATGATTTTAAAATGTATGCCAGCTATGTGGTATCTGATACATGAGAATTTTCATCACTATGTATGATTTATACATTATATTAAACAAAGTTAAACAAATGTAATCTCATGTTGTATAGTAAAATTAACACACCAGTCCATCATGTATTTCCAAGGCCCTTTTCAGACGTTGAACTTTTCATGTGCCGAAAATCGCATTGAATGTTAATAAAATAAACACTAATATAAGCTTCAGCTTATGAACATTAGTTTTGAAACATCTGACGTCTGAAATGGAGAAAAAGAGAAGCTAAATGATATTACTGTGATGATTTTTTTAGTTCGTATCATCAATCCAGATTTGACATATTGCAAGGAGGGAGAAATGGGGCAGGTTGTCATACGGTAATAAATGATAAATTATTTAGGTTTATAGTCACATTATTGCGCCCTAAGTTCCGCTCCCGAAGTACCGAATTTTAGGCCAAACTTTTTTTAAAGAGCGCCGCTGTCGCAGTGAAGAAAGCATCCCTTCCAGTCTCGTACCCAGCCAATGATTTATGTAACAGCCTGGAGTGTGCCTATGTATAGAGTTATTTAAAACCGCCTGGGTACGAGGCTGTTTCCCTGTGTAGAGTGGCGTAGGAGCACGATAATTGCAATTGGGGGGGGGTGCACATATTCATATATGTTACTTACAGACTTCAGAGAAAATCAATTAGAAATTAAATTCCTTTATTATTTAGGCTTCCATTGCCACCTGGAGTAGCATCTACTCTTTGGAAGAATGACGAAAGATTTGTAGAAAGTTATTTTAAAAAATATCCGGTACGATTTCTTCACTTCACAACTAATCTGATAAAACAACAGGCAATCTGCAGCTGTTCTTGTTCCATTATTGATCGTGCATTATTGACTCGGTTGTTTCCGTTTCCTTGAAACAGATTAGAAAAGTAAAATAATTTTCTTTTAAATCCCAGGGTCATTATGACTCGATGGATGAGGGTGTTATGGATTCTAACGGTTGTGTATCGATAATGACGAGAGCTGATGACGTCATTAATGTAGCAGGTCACCGTTTGTCAACAAAAGGCATTGAAGAGGTAAAAGTCATCGTTTGTATGTAAATGGCGGGAATCGTTTTCCCTTACTTCAAGCAGACATTTCATTGGCTTTCATAGCTTTATTATTCTAAAAATTAAATTGCTCGGTTAAATGCCGCTATCCCGTTAATACAATTGGATTTTAATTATAGAGGCGTTAGCTATATGCCTAAAATCCTTAGGCTTACAAGGCTATGGATCTTAGGCATACAACGCTTCAAAAGCGAAAAAAACAGTTAAGTTGGTCGGCTTAAAAAGCGAAAAAAAAGGTTTTAAGACCGACTTTTAAGAGATAAGATAGTGTTTCGCATCCCCATGCACACCTCCCTATTGTGTCTACTTTTGTCCACTTTTGATAAAAACTTGCCTGCAGATAATAACGTTACATTTTACCGTTAGGCGTTGCTTAAAGACAAAGACGTTATGGATGCAGCTGTGGTTGGGTTGGATGACAGTATTAAAGGTCACGTGCCATTTGGATTCCTTGTTGTAAAAAAAGGTGATTTTCTTATTATTGTTAATACGTCAACGATGTCGTCTTTTTACTCAGATAATCAAGCATGCGCAAGTGAAAACTAATAATGATTAGAATTTCCTTAAATGAAAAGAAAAAAATAAGAAAAATCTCGTTTCGAAAGCGAACATTTTGATATTTGTTATTCGGTCATTCAATTATTCGTCCCTGACATGGCATCTGGATTGTCCGAGATCACAATAGACATCGATGAACTGAAAATGGGATGTTTAGAGTGAGCGATTCTCTCTGGATAATTCTCTGAATGATATCTGGCATGCATTAACAATGGCCAGCATCAATATATCCTTAGATGGAAACCGAAACATCTCCTCTTCGTTTTCGAATCAAATCATTCATACGATTTTTATAGGTTTGGAGAAGTCACGCGAGGATATCATTTCTGATGCTGTGGAGGCAGTTCGTGAGCATTTGGGTCCTGTTGTAGCCTTCAAATCCGCTGTCATTGTCCCGGCGTTACCAAAGGTTTGTTGCATCTGCTACATTTCCTCTCACTCCCAGGAAACATTCATGTTTTTTGCATGTCTCAAATTTATGTTTTTGGCATTTTCCAAACTGCTAAGAAATGTTTTTAAGATTATTGCTTATTCTGTGATTAGTTTGTGAACTTTCTAAGTCTTTTTTTCGGAGACTATTGATGGTATATTAACACGTTGACTTATATTTTCTTAGACTAGATCGGGTAAAACATTGCGTTCTCCGCTTCAGAAGTTAATAAATGGTAAACAATACAAGGCAAGTAGAGTAACTCAATTTGCAATTAAATATACAAAATAAGTTCATTTTAATATGTAAGATAATTCACATATAATTCACATATATTCACATATAATAAGGCATGGAATTACAACTACATGCAGTGTATCCCAGATTTAAGAGTTTTCTTCAAGCTACAACTTGAAGCTCTGCGCACAAGAATTATAATTCTGCACAGAAGTTTGCAATCATGCCCATATATATAATTTGACCGAACAGTATAAGTCAAAAGCTATTCGCCTTCAAACCACATTTCCCTTATTTTCTTTTAAATGTTAGATTCGCCGTATCATCGGGCTAGATTAGACACATGCACATCTATGCACATGCATGAATTGCCAAGTTATACCAACAATTTGACTGTCATATCCAGACTACTTAATGACTATTCAGAGGTGAACTTGTAGCCTTAATAAGTCGAACAAACGTTTATTTTAAATTTCAAGATAACCCTTATTCCTTAATTTTTTCCCTTCGTTTACTTTCAGTTACCAGGTACTGTGGAAAATCCGGAGATTCTCGACGTAATAAAGGATATTTTGAAAGATGAAGGTTATCCTAAAGAATCCTGATTTTTTATTATGAATATATTGAAACAATGCTACAATGGGATGGGGTGCCGGTAATCAAAATTTCTTTTGCACGTATAATCATTTCTATATAGGTAATGGATATTTTTTAGCAAATGTATAGTGATTTAGTAGACGACTTCGGCCCGTTTCAGGCGTCAAAATTTTCCTGTGCCCAACGTATGCAATGATGAGCTAAAGTCTAAGTTCATTTACATAAAAAGAAAAATTTGACGTCTGAAACAGGCCTTAGAATTTCAGGACGGTTAATTTTGCTCGCATGGTGTGTCACCGTTCTTATGTATTCTAGTTCGAAATTCGTTGAAAGACTTCAGCAGTGATTCGTAGGGGCCATGGATTCATGGAAGATTCAATCCTGCAATTGACAATTCAATCTTCATTCGAACGTTTTTTTAAGTTATAGTCAATATAGAATATATTCGGCTAGATTGAATCTACAGTACTGCTCAGAAGTAACTTAACACTGCGTTCGCGTTCCGTTCGCGTTCAAATCGCGTTCCGAACGCGACCGGAACGCGTTCCGAACGGGTTCCAAAATGCGTTCCATTGCGTTCCGAACGCGTTCCATAAAATATTTGGAACGCGTTCCTCGGTTAATTTAAAACCGCGTTCCTACTTCGGAAATTTTCGAGTTGAGTAGGGTTGTTCCCGATGACCCAATCGGAAATTCGGGAATACACTAATACACTATACAGTACTCTATAGCGATCACAGACACAGTTTTGGGATAAATTGGCAAAATACAAAAATTATTTGAAATACACAAAGAATTGCAAATGTGACAAAACTAATGATCTAAAAACTTTTGGCTTTAAAATCGAATACCAGAATTTCGAATATTTGTTTTCACGACAATATTAAACGGCAATGTTGCTAGAACCGACTTTGTTGACACAAATGAAATAAAAGCTTTCTCCTCGTCAAAAGGCAAAACAAAGTGGTAAAAAAATCACTGCACTGAGACGAAGACAATATAGACGGGGTTAAAAAAGAATTCTTACATAACAATTATCAAAAGCCGTTGCTCGAAGTGGTAGACCTTAGGCTTAGTCCTTATTTCGAATATTTGTTTTTCGAAGTACATGACCCCAAGGGCACTGCTGCTAAAACTATATTTCACACAATTATATGCTTCCTACTTGTCAAAAGCAATGAGCGTCTTTGAGCGCTCTCAGTGGAACATGTCGTTACATGATACACAAAACTGTCAAAACATGTTGATCAAAAACAGACAATAGAGCGATTAGAGGGGGTCATAAAAAATCCGTTTAAAAATACAAGAATCGAATGTTACAAAACTGATCATCACAAACCTTTCGCTTTCAATTTTTTTATAGTAAATCAGAATTTTTATGATATTTATGATAATCGCCTTTATGATTTGTAAAAATTGATATTGTTGGTGACTTTTACTAAACTCACTACCGTCTGCCTATTGCGTATTCATCACACTATCGCACTTGATCATAGCATACCGCTTGATCATTAGCAACCATTAGCGGGTCTGAGGTAATTAAAATATGAGGTGTGGAGGTTATTTTTATTCGTGACTCACACAAGTTGAAACAATAATAAAACCGTAGTTCCATGCCAAACACTTTATTCTGCGATCTACACCCTGTGCGATCTTCACTCTCTGACACCTCGGCGAAACTTTTGTGGTTGGTTTTTGGCTTAATTTTGAGATGGCTTCTTTGCGAAAACTCATTCGTGAGCCAGCAAAACGTATGCTGATATTCTTCAGCGTTGACCAGACGACGACTGTGCTGGATACAGCGAAAGTAAAGGAAATTATAGAAGGGGACAAAATTGAAGAGGGAGCAAAAGTGCTTGTAAAATTTGGAAAAGATAATTTCGAAGCAAGGATAATTAAGCTTCACGGTAAGCAATAAGTACACCTCGTAGTCTATATATTATTTAAACTCTGGCTTCCTTCCTGACAATCTTGTGGTAGTTGAATAACATACTGAGTTTATTTCTGTATAGACGATCCTGGCGTGCTGCTCGAAGCAGAGACGGAGTTTTTGATTCAGATGTTTGGGGGGGGAAATGATGCACACGACGCAGACAAAGAAAACCAAACCCCGACCGCTGAACCAAATGCGAGGAGGCCTCCATTGGCAAATAAGACCAATTCACCACATCCACAGGCAACAAAGAAACGAAAAAAAAACCGGAGATCAATCGAAGGCCAAAAAAGCGAAGAAGGTATATAGTCATACTACAGGTCATTGAGATTACATGATGCTAGGGCCTGAAACTGTCAACCATTGGCATTGATGCCAATAATCTTAAATTGGTTTACAACAGTTCAACAAGTATTCACAACCACTTTATTCTTGTTGTATTTAGTTAATCAACATAGAAGCAGAGTCATTGCCTGATGAGCCATATGGTAATGCTGATGGGGAAGAACCTTGTGGAACAAAAGAACCTTGTGGAACAAAAGAACCACTGTCATTTATGCATCCCATGGAACAAGAAAAGGTGAGAAGATTGGTGGCTGAATACCAAAAACTTGATGAGAAAGAAGTTGGTGTTCAGACAGATTGTGTTCCATCAAATGAAGTTGGTATACAAATAAATTCTAAAGAAGATCAGCCAAAGATGATGAACCAGTGTTCGTGTCATGATGTCTTGCTGGAAAAGGTATCAATCCTAGAAAGTAAACTAGATAAGCTTGTTTCACCATTAGAAAATCCAAAGCAAAAGAGAAGAGTTCTATTGGGGTTTCTTCACAGCAATACGGAAGTATGTTAATTCCAATCATTATGTCAAAATTGCCCAGTGAAATCCGTCTCGAAATTGCCCGTAAGTCGACTACCGAGGTTTGGGAAATTGATGAGCTGCTTGACACAATAAAAACGGAAGTTGAAGCACGGGAAGTAAGTGAAGGAGTTCAGTCAAATCTACAAGGTAAAAAATCGGGTGCCCCACTCTACCCCCCTAGAGTACCATCTGCTGGTGCATTCACTGCTCAAGAACAAAGTGGTAAACAAATTTAATGTGTTTACTGCAAGGAATTTCATTTTTCGGCATCATGTGATCGTGTGACCAACCCAAATGAACGCAAAGATATATTGAGGAGAGACAATCGCTGTTTTGTATGTTTGGGAAAGGGGCATCGGAGTTCCCGGTGCATGTCAAAGAAAAGTTGTCGACATTGTAACAGTCGACGTCATCAATCGATATGTGAAGCCTCTAAGCCCCCTAATGATGTACCACCTTCCTTCGGAGTAGATAAATCAAACGCATCCCATGGAAACGAAGAGTCATTTTCAACGAAAGATCCTCAAAACACCAATGCCACCACTGTGATAAATGGTAGAGACAAAATGACTCCCCCTGAGAATTCTATTGGGACAGATCAGGCAACTGTTGCAGATAACTCAATGACGACTACAACGACGACCAAAACCCGAAATAAAGTCCTACTACAAACAGCAGTTACATATCCGCAAGTAAAGAATGGTTCAAATTCAATACCAGTTCGTTTACTTCTGGACAGTGGTAGCCAGGGTTCTTACATCACCAACTCATTGAAGAAACGACTCGAGCTGGCTCCCATTCGAACCGAGACCCTTAATTTGAATACCTTTGGGAATGATCACTTTACAAAACGACGTTGTGCTGTAGTCCAGTTAGTACTGAAAGGAAACAGTGGTCGCTGAAAAATAAACGCACTTTGTTTCCCAAGTCTTTGCTCACCTTTGACAAGCACAATCGACCTTAGTTTAAATCCCCACCTACAAGATTTACAGCTTTCAGATTCCAACATCATCGAAGGACGTCAGAACGATAGCAATATTGATATACTCATTGGTGCGGATTATTACTTTGATATTCTTACGGGTGAAATGATACGTGGTGAAAGTGGTCCTGTAGCTATCAATAGTGAATTTGGGTGGGTCGTTACTGGACCGACTGGTAACATAGAATCATGTTCTGAGGTATCTGAAGCACATTTCCTGATCGAGGAGAAATGTTCTACTACAACCGATTTCACACCGGTTCTGGGAAATTGAATCAATGGGTATTGCGGGGGCAGAAGCTAAAAAAGAAGAGTTTTTAAGGGATATAAACTATCTCGAGAATGATGCAAGGTACGAAGTTAGTTTACCGTGGAAAGATAAGTGCGTTCCAAAATCGCCTAGGTACAGTATGTGTTTGAAGCGACTTTATCAACTCAAGGCTCGTCTCGATAAAGACAAATCTTTACTCGAACAGTATGACAACATAATTAAGGAACAAGCGAAAAGTGGAATTACAGAACCCGTAGTTAAGCCTGCACAACGCAGCCATTATTTACCTCATCACGGAGTACAACGTGAAGATAAAGAGACTACGAAATTGAGAGTCGTATTCGATGGTTCAGCAAGATCGTTCAAAGATGACGTGTCTTTGAACGATTGTCTTGAAAAGGGGCCGAATTTAGTCCCTCATCTGTTCGATACCGTAGTTAAATTTTCGTGGCTATCTTATCGGACTTGTCGCGGATATTGAGAAGGCCTTTCATCAAATTGCAATTGCTCCTGATGATCGAAAGATGTTGAAGTTTCTTTGGTTCGAGGATATCAATCAAGATTCCCCAACTGTCAAGGAATATGAGTTTCGACGCCTGCCATTTGGTTTAACCTTAAGCCCTTTTATACTATCCAGCATTATAGCTTATCATCTTTAAAAATATAAGGAAATCGAGCCAGAAATTGTCGCCTTGCTACTTGAGTCCCTGTATGTGGATGATTTTGCTGGAGGGGCTTATGATGACGACGAAGCACTGGTTATCTATCGAAAGTCTCAAGATCTAATGAGCAAGGGTGGTTTCAAACTTCGAAAATGGCATTCATTCGAAATTGCATCTCAGCACAAAAAAATGCTATCGAAAGCTCGAAGGACGAAATGCCTAAATCAAAGTTAAAGCACAGCAGTTGCAATACAAAGAATGACACTGAAGAAAGCCTTGTCGAAGATTCGTTATCATGCCAAACATCACAAAATCCCCTGGCGTCTAAGCAGAATTGCGTAAACATTCTTGGGACAAGTTGGAATGAGTACAGCGATCAATTTTGTTACGATCTCAGCGAATCAGTTGAATACCCCAAATCCCTTCCCCCGACCAAACGGTCTGTGCTCAAACTTTCAGCCAAGATCTTCGACCCTATCGGTCTTTTCGCTCCATTTACAGTAACCATTAAGATATTATTTCAAACCCTCTGTTCTGGTAGCATAGATTGGAATGACGAGTTAGACGGCAAAACATTAGCAAGCTGGAAGTCTCTTGTGAACGATCTACGAGCCTTGAGTGATATACGTGTGCCACGCTGTTACTTCCACCATACAGACGAATTGTCTGAAAACCATGAGATTCACGGTTTCACTGATGCTTCTGATCTTGCGTTCGCTGCTGTCGTGTACCTTCGCACAGAGTATAGTAATGGAGATGTCCTTGATTGCATCCAAGACAAGAGTCGCACCTATTAAAAGATAAACTATACCGAGACTCGAGTTGTTAGGAGCAAATTTACAAGCCCGATTGGTCGACACGATTATCAAAGCACTCACGTCAATCAAGATAATAACCAATGTTGTCTTATGGACGGACTCGTTCACTACTTTATGTTGAATTCGAAACCATAAGGTATGGAAGACTATGTTCAGAACCGAGTAAACGAGATAAGAGAGCGAAAAAGCAACTACGAATGGAGACATTGAATCCCGCTGATCTGCCATCTCGTGGTTGCTCGGGACGTGAACTAGCAGAAGCTGAAACATGGTGGAATGGTCGGAAGTTCTTCAGACTTCACGGGAACATTGGCCACAGGATCCTCAACCTCCAAGTAAAGTTAATGACGAGGCTCTAAGCGAAGAAATGAAAAATCCAACTGAAATCGTACACTCGTATGATAGATCGCTAAATGATTTTGTCCATATCGAAGAAATCATTGACCCCAAGAAATATAGCACGAAGATAAAGTTGCTTTGCGTTACCGCACGAATAATTCGATTCATACGAAAGATTAGTAAGCAACTACGCACAACGTCAATGGAATTAAGCGCTGATGAATTAATGGAAGCTGAGAAATTATGGATCAGAAGTATTCAATCTATCGCATTTGCCGAAGAAATCAACATCATCACATCGATAGCAAGAATGTACTAGTGCAGCAATTTGGATTGCTTCTTGACGAGGATCATATTATTCGTTGTGACGGTCGAATTAATCATTCTACGATGCCTGACGAAGCAAAACAACCGGTACTTTTGCCATCGAAGCACGAATTTACGAACATGGTTATCCACGAAAGTCACAAATTTACTAATTTACTAGTACATCACGATGGAATCACGGAAACCTTAAATTGCGTGCGTGGGAAATATTGGGTTTTACGAGGACGAGAAAGAGTAAAGAGTGTCTTAAGACAATGTGTAACTTGTAAAACTTTCGAAGCGAGGCCCTTTGCTGCAGAAAAAGAGCCTGTTTTACCATCCAGTCGAGTAAGCGAAGAACCTCCATTTTTAAACACAGGCATTGATGATACAAGTAATGGGAAATCATAGAAAGTATATATTTGTTTGTTTACGTGCTGCTCCACGAGAGCTGTCCATTTGGAACTTGTTCCAAGTTTGAGTGTTCCTTTATTTCTTCAAACATTTCGACGATTTAAATCTCGAAGAGGTTTACCGTCATGATTAATAACAGACAATGCTAAAACATTTAAGAGCGCATCAAAGGAGGTAAAGAATATCTTGAGATCGGTAGAAATTCAACAAGAAATGGCTTCGAAGGGAATAAAATAGGATTTCATCATAGAACAGGCACCATGGCAGGGAGGATTCTACGAGCGAATGATTCAAAGCACTAAGAGATGTTTAAAGAAGATTCTTGGACGATCTTCGGTGGATTTCGAATCTTTAAGAACACTCTAAGTTGAAATCGAAATGACTATAAATAATAGACCGCTCACGTATATGTATGACGACGAAGAGGGAATCTCGTACCCACTAATACCTTCACAATTAATCTATGGAAGACAGATATCACTGACACCTAGTGATCGACAGTTCGATATCATCAGCACGAACAATGCGTTGACCAAAAGAGCAAAGAAACACCGACGCTTACTCGAGCAATTTACAACTCGATGGAAAACAGAATATTTACTGAGTCTATGAGAGACCGCCCGCGTACATAAAGGTCCATCACGGGATTTCGTGGCGGTTGGTGATGTGGTTGTTCTGAAAAATGACTCAACTTCCCGCGTGTTTTGGAAGTCAGCGTGTGTGAAAGAGCTCATAAAGAGCAAAGACGGTGTAACTTGCGCAGCAAAGGTTTGCGTGTTAAACTCTGGAAAATCTCGAGTGATCGAACTACGTCGACCTATTCAGCATTTAGTCCCCTTAGAGTTGACATTGAGACAAGGTGCAGAAACGGTACAGCACGAAGATGATATATTTTGATCACTCTAGTGTGATCAACGCCGGGAGTGTGAGAAACTGTACATCACATATTTATATTTTGTTAACGTGGACACTTATATACTCTACATAGTGGATATTTATAGAACAATTAGTTTAATTGTATGTCCTGTCAATCATGTAATCGCATTGGATATTGTTCGGTATTTTGTGCTCGATTGAAAGTATAGTGTGAGAGTTGTTTAACGAAAGCGATTGAATTTAAAGATCAAATCTACGAAGCGAACCCTGTCGGTATTTATTACAGAAATGTACCCATGGAAAATTATTTGAACCAAAAGAATTGCACGAACACTCGCCATTATATAAAGCCGAAATTGCACATTCTATTCATGACATTATTGATTCAGACCAATTTGCTTATAAAAACGGCCACAACACTATAATGGCCCTGATTAAGTGCCAACATATGGCATTAAAATGGCTGGAAGACGGTGCCAGATATGTGAGAGTCTTTTCATTCGACTTAAAGAAAGCCTTTGACAGTGTGCCGCATGACATCCTTTGTAGCAAATTGAAAAACCTTCCTCTCAATCCATATATTATTAACTGGATTATTAGTTTCTTGGACAATCGTCATCAAAGAGTAAAGGTTGATGGAATTAGAACAAACTACGTTAACATCAATAGAGGAGTTCCTCAAGGAACTGTGTTGGGTCCAGTACTGTTTTCGATAATGGTAAATGACATTAAAACAGTCAATACCCAAAATGAATTAGTGAAATTTGCTGACGACTTGACATTAGAAATCCCCGGGTATGATCATGGAGATACATCAATGATGGAGGTAAGCAATATTAAAGAATGGTCCGAAAGAAATAGAATGCAGCTCAATATGGAAAAAACATATGAAATGGTCATACAAAGTAAAATCCCAACACCCTTACCGACTCCCATTCCAAATATCGTACGTAAATCATGGCTGGAATTATTAGGAATAACGTTGGAAAATGTACCTGATAAATGGGACTTACACTTTAAGGAAATGATTAGCAAAGCAGGAGGAAGAATGTACATATTGAGAGTTTGTAAGTATTATGGTATACAAACCAAACAGTTAGACCTTTTATTCAAAGCTTAATAATGTCGTTATTTGTTTACGGAATTGAACTTTGGGGAGGCACCCATAGCAAGTACATTGATCAAATCGAAAAATTCATTGGCCGTGCATATCGAAATGGTTACATATCAGAAAAGTATGATTTTAAAGAAATTATTGTGGACAGAGACAGGAAATTATGGAAGAATATTACAAACAATAAAAACAATGCATTACAAGAATTGTTGCCGAATAAGTTAAATAGACAATTAAGACAGAGGGGACACGAGTTCGAGTTACCTGTAATAAGAACCGAACGTTATAAACGCACTTTCATAAATAGATGCCTTTTTAAATTTGTATAATAAATCCACTTATTATTGTCTTGGTCTTGTAGATTACAGCCAATTATCGTCTTAGTTTTATAGTAATTAATAGTTAAAATTATGTAAATAACAGTAAATCTTATCCTGTAATATATTTAATCTTAGAAAACGCTGTAAACTCAAACGTGTGTTTTGAGTACTATTCTTGTAAGAATAATAAAGAATTCTATCTATCTATCATTACGTTTCTTCAGTGAGGAATAATCATCTGAAAGGCGTATTTTCATTCGCAGTCCGTAGTCCGTGGTCCGAAGTCCGTTGTCCGTAGTCCGTGTCCGTAGTCCGTGGTCCGTGTTTTCCACCAAGCCCAAAATGTTTATGTTGTTGGGACAAACGTCTGGTTGCTTAGGTATTACAGGACATGAAAACTTTGCACTATCCTTGGATCCAGTAGTATTTTTGTTCATTATATGTGTATAGAGATTTATGCACAGCAGAATGATGAAATAAAAATCGTATTCCACTGTGTAAATTAATTTCATGCAATTTGATTGGACGTACAATGTTTTTCACGTGTGAAAAAATGGCGGCAATTTGTTTACATTTTCTTCCAAGATGGCGTCGTATATAGGAGTGAGATTCAAAACATAATTCTCATATTCAAGATATTTTCATATTCAGCACATTTTCAAATCTTTAGGAAAGAATATCTAATTGCTTTTGAACGAAATTACAAAGAAACTGAACGGTAATAAATATGTTTTGATGCATGAAATTTCGATTTTTTTGTTGGCTGTGTTTTTGTATATTTAAAGCGTGTCGTTGTCAAATTATTATTTATTATTATTATTGGGAGCTAGATTGCTGTCTTATTGCCATGCATTTACATAAATTACGTTACATAAATAGAAAATTTAGAAAGGTTAATAATATAAAAGTTACTATGATTCATTATTACAATTTATAAGTATTAAAACGGTATGCATGTTGAGTTAAAATGTTAGAAAAACAGTTAGGATCTTGTTAAAGTATTATTATAAGAATTTATGGCATACACTAAAGGACCATTCTTAAATCTATTAGTCTTAAATTTAAAATTGTAATACGTTTCAGCATTAGATCTGGTTACCCTTTGTCTTTTGTCTTTGACACGATCTGGAAGCAGGTCATGTAGACAGTGCTCAGGGGCAGATAAATTTGTAATCAAGTCCACGCAGTGGATTTCACGTCTTTCGCTCAGCATTTGCATCTTGAGATAATTTAAAGCTGTGGAGTTATCAACACCTGGTAGTATTATTCTGAAGGCTCTTTTCTGGATTCTTTCAATATTAACACTTTGAGAATTGGTTATTCCTCCATGCCACAGCACATTTCCGTATTCAAGAGTTGATCTAATTACGCTACAATAAAATTGCAAGAGATCTTGCATTGGCGCTCCATACTTTTTAAGGACCTTAAGGAAGTACAACTTCTTTCTTGCTTTCTTCATGATGTAATCAGTATTACTATTCCATTTTAAACCGTCGTCGAGCCATATTCCTAACAGTTTAAAGAACGAGACCCTTTCAATTTCTAGGTCGTATAAATCGATGCTCCTAATCGTAGTTTTCTTAACACGAAAGTCAAAGATCATGTCTTTTGTTTTCTTAACATTCAACAGCATTCTTTGCTCGCGACAGAACGTTGAAATCCTTTGCATGGATATTAAATTTCATATTTCCAATTGGTTGATTTGATTTATGGTCGGTTACATTCAGTATTTCGGATAGGGTAGTGTCATCTATAAACATTGAAACTTGTTTTGTATTAGTTGAGTTGCCTTTACTGCAACATCAGGTAAACAATTGATTTTAGTAATAAAGGAAAACGGTCCGATCTTGCTTCCTTGCGGTGCACCAGCATTAATATTACGGAAATTGGATTTTAATCTAATTTTACTCTTTCTTGACGTTGGGACAGATATGACGTTAACCAGGGTAAAAAGGCAGGCCTTACACCAAACTTTTCCAAATCAGATAGAAGAATATTATGATCTATAAGATCAAACGCTTTGGTGAAGTCCAAAAATATGACACGGATCACTGTATCAGGGCTTTCCATAGCTGCATACCATTTGTGAAACATCTCAAGGAGGGCCAATACTGGCGAGGACCCGGGAATTCCTCCAAATTTTCTGCTGCTAATATTGTGTTTAGCATCATACATCATCCACTGTAGCGCATAACTCGCTTGTATTTTAGAAAAAATACTTGTAGTTGCTTAGGTCTAATACTCTCGATGACAGTACAAGGGTTAGACTTAGGGATTGGACACACATAGGCTTTCCAAATATCACCAAAACGTTTCTCACGAAAGGAGGAATTAATAATGTCCGTAAGATGGATTGAAAATTCCTCGCCAAACATTTTAATTATTTTCTGTGGCGGGTTAAAAGGTGCTGGGGATTTATTCACATTAAGCTGATGGAGCTTTCGTGCGACAGATTGTCTTGATACGGTTGGAAGTTCTAAATCTCGACCTTCGACGAGGCAACGCTCGTGCACTGTACTATAATCTTTTGTTATAGGTTAACAAAATACTTATTAATTATTTCAGCCGCATCTTCTTGTGTTAAAGGTTCTCCATTTTCTTGATTAGAGAGAGATATATTTTTGTTATTTTTTGAATAACAAACCTTTTTAATCGCTTTCCACCACAATTTAGAGTCACTGCTTTTTAGTGGTTTTATTTTCTTATTATAGAACATTCTTTTCTGCTTCTTGATTTCATTAGTGACCTTGTTACGTAGTACCCTATAGTGTTCTTTATCAATGTTGCGGAATGCTCTATTTCGCTGTATAATTAAGTTTTTAATTTTCCCAGTAATAAATGGCTTGTCGTCTACATGAAACTTTACAGTACGCTTCAGAAAATAGTGTTCAATTTTATGTGAGTAAAATGTTCTAATTTCTCATTCAATGTATAGCTGTACGTAATAGGCTCCCATTGGTATGTTTTTAACCAATTACCAAAACTTTCAAGACTGGATTTTTTAACTGGGCGGACTTCAATACCCTTCGATTTCCAAAGTACCAGCAAATGATCTGAGTTATCTAAAGGCGCATGTGTTCTTGGTGGATAATAGTATTTAGATATATTAGTGAATATTAGATCCAAGACGTGTTCTTTCCTCGTTGGTACCTGCACGACTTGTTTAAGACGGCATTGTAATTCCACATGTCTAGATCGAAAGTTATTACTGTTGGGGTTAAAATCTCCAGTGATTATAAAAGCAGTTTCAGTGCTCTCCAAAATAAGCGTATCAATGCAGCAACATAAATAATCATAAAATTCTTCGATCTCATCATTCATAATTGACGGGGGTAAATAAATTATTGCAACAGCTATCCTCGATACACTTCTGGGTAACCATTTGGGCCTTATCGTGACCCAGATGCATTCTATTGAGTTATGAGCCAGATCGGATCTAAGTTTAAACGGAATAGTATTTTTATTGTAAATACAAACACCACCACCGTTACTATCATTTGCTCTATCCTTTCTAACAATTGAATGACCGTCTATTGTGACAATTTCATCAGGCATATCGTTGGTAAGCCAAGTTTCTGTGTTACAAATTACGTCCGACATAGTTTGATTAGCCCGTAATAAGAGTTCATCCACTTTATTACGAAGTGAGCGAGAATTCAGCAGCATTACATTTGGAAGCGATTTATTCAGGATCAAGAATTTTTTAACGGGGGCACTATTAGAATTAATAGGAACTTCTATTAATTAAAATTATCAGTTGTATTCCTAAACATGTTATGATCATAGTTTCGAGCGGGCGCAATACTATCGTAG